TATATAACAAGCTATATATCAGAAACTGGAGCTTGTGTAAAAGACAGCAGGGAGATCTTTGCAAAACATATGGTCTAGACATCATATTACTTTGCTCATCAAACATTTCATTGCTTTTTATTGTGCTTCCAAGTGCAATTCAATGTACTCATGTTGATCTACAAAGTTCTAAAGAATCTAAACTATATGAGACCAAGAAATTTAAAGTATCATTTATTTCCATATTAATGTTAATGGCAAGAGTCTATCTGAATTGTGATAGGATATTAGTGCAATAAATAAATATTGGTAATTTATTATCACTGGAAACTAGATTCTGTAGCATAATTACAGAATTTACTACCAACAAAGAAAAAAAATTGGCTTCTTTCTCATTCTGCTTTCAACAAATAAATCAGAACATGTAGTGTATGTAGAGCTCTCTGGGCCTCAAAGCAAAATTCTCACAAGGAGCTATGCAATTTGAGAGTTAAGTTGTTGATTCTTTCCCAATTGAGATCAGTCCTCAAGAAAGAGAAGAAAGTCATTACAAAGCATCCCATTCCTGGCTGAGGACTAGAAAGTGACTGTCAATAATAGCACCACTACTGTTGTTGAAGTAACAGCTTACTTGGGAACAATAGTGGAAAACGATGAAGTAAGCAGCAGCTCACCCTCACATGCCATTCTTCTCTTGTTGGAGTATTGAGAGACCAGGCTTATTTCTTTGAAAGATCGAAGGTATAGAGCAAGGGAAAATCTGGAGTATCCTGCATTTCTGAGCTCAAAATGTGTAGAATTAAACTATTAATTTTTAACTGGGGAAAAAGCCTTGCATTTGCTATTTGTATGCCCCTGCTTTTATCTCTCTGATGCTATGTTGTTATTTAAATTAAACACCTCTCTCAAAGTTGGTATTGTGTTGTTTGATTGCATGATAAGTATTGATATTTTTATTGCAACAAGTAATCCTCAACTTATGATCACAAATGGGATGGCAATTTTGGTCATTAAGTGATGTGGTCACTAAGTGAGTCATCAGGTGACTTGAACTGGAGTGCATTACCATTTTTACTGTGGTTGCTAAGTGAATAACAACATTCATTAAATGAATCCATTGCTTTTGCTGGTTGGAAGCCGGATGGGAATATAACAAGTCATTACTATGACTGCAAGATGCTGCAACCATCATAAATGTGAGCCAGCTGCCAAGCACCCAAATTATGATCATGTGACCTTAGGGTAGTGCAATAGTTGTAATTTCAAGAATCATTATGGTCATAAGTCACTTTTTCAGATGCTGCTATAACTTTGAACTAATGACAACCACTGACATAATAATGATAAGCAAATAAAAGAGAGTAAAAATTAGTTCCCCAACTAATAAAGATGTATAAACGACCTATGTAAGCTTCCTTGTTATCAGGACAGAAATCCACTTCCTTATCAGCTTGTCTCAATGTTGTTGAGAATTTTAATTTACATATTGATTCTAAACTGAAAATAACTAATTGTTGAAATTCTAGTAAACTCATCCCATCTATCTCAATTAAATTTGTTAAAGAGAATTCTGTGACATTCATACCTCTAAGAGGAACTTTCCACTTAAGCAATTGTCAATGAGTCTGATACTAATTTACCATAAACATTTTTTCTACAGCTTCAACTTCCCATATACTATTGATTCAACCATATAAGAAATGTATATCAAAACTCTTTAGTTAATCTAAACTTATTACAAAATGTAAAAAACTTTTACCGCGGTAGCTTTTAGAAATTTGAAAACTTTAGTTTATTGTTTATTGATTAGTTGGGAAAATGAAAACTATAGAAACCAGAAAAGCCTGCTTTTTTTCCTACAACAGAAACACCTAGCTTTGCAAAGCCAATACAATGTATAAAATTTGTGACAAGGTCCAAACAATGTATGACTTTCCACATTTTACAATGCAATCAATACCTTTTCCCAGTTAAAAATCAATAGTTTAATTCTATATATAAAAACCACTACATGATCAGATTATTTGGTCTTTAAAATATTTTGGTAATTAAAGGGAATTTGAATTATTTTAAAACTACTGAAGCAAATTAATAGCTAGTAATATTATTAATACTCTCATTCATGCAAATTTGAGGGATTTTTCCCCCAGAAATGCTTTAGTGCCTCTTTATTTGGATCAAGTAATAATTTAGAGAATTTTTGATGAGTTCAGTAAACAGGGTGTCCCTAAAGTAAAAAACCCTTCAATATTTCATCTTGTTTTACAATTTATTTCTATTTTTAATATACTATTATTTGGGGTTTTGATTTTCAAGGTTTTGTTTAAAAATATATTCCTTTGTATATTACTTTAGGAATCCCCCTTATAACAAAAGAGTAAACAGAGGAAAAGAAAAATCATTAGATAGCCTGATCATCTAAGCCAGTGGTGGCGAACCTATGGCATGTGTGCCACAAGTGGCACACAGAGCCTTCTCTGTGGGCACGTGTGCCATTGCCCCAGCTCAGCACCGCTGTGCATGAGTGTGTACCTCCCACCGGCCAGCTGGTCTTTGTATCTCTGCCATGCATGCACGGGATGTGTGGTGCATGCAGGAGGCATGGCATATGCACAGGGTCATGTGAGGGCCATGCATATGCGGGGTGTGTGCATGCATGCACAGGGAGTACCAGTGCATTGTATTTTGGGGGTATGTGCACGCTTTGGGCACTTGGTGCCAAAAAGGCTTGCCATCCCTGATCTAAGCAGTGATCATTACTTCAAAACGCAGTCTTGTTTCAGAAACAATGTTGAATATGGTTCATGTGTATTCATATATTTCTTCCTTTCTTATATAATTATAAGAGCCCCAATTTTTGATTGAATTTACTTTCACTATTCTGTTAGAATAAAATACAAACTATTTAGTCAGTATAACACTGACTAAATAAGTATAACACTAATACAATTATAAAAGTAGATACAAAACTCCAGAAAACAAGAGGACATATTCATAGGAAGTCATCAGCCCTACCATTAAAAATTGAATTATATAAATGATAAACTTTAAGGTATTCTACTTTATCTATTTAGAAAAGAAAAGCAGGCAAAAGCTGTTTCTAAAACAGAAGAAACTTTCAAAATTGTAATAAAACAAAGAAAAGTTAAGTATATCCATTTTAACTCATTGTATCAAATAGATGTAAAAACCATTAGGTTTTTGAAAAGGAAACTGCGAAAAGGCAAGTTTGAACATGAGCCACATGTTCATGAAACTAATCAGTTTCATTTTCTGAATCTCAACTAAAATGATTAATATTCTCTGATCGTTTCCTTATTTTTATCATTTTGATGGATATCTGAAAACTGCTATCTCACCTGTCCTGAGATGAGCTTCCCTATTTTTTTCACATATTAATATAATTGCAAATTAGACCAATTTCTTTTACATCTTTTCATTTTTGGTATCATTTTAAACAAAAATGTCATATGGACACAATCTTATTTAAGTGAGCAAAGGTGAGGGCAGTACAGGCATCAAAGCACTGTACTTGTTTGGCTCCACATGGATTAATTATAGCACTTATAATTACTTATCTCAAAAACTGATAACGTGTTTTAGCACATGTCTTTGAAAAGAAGCATCTTTCCCCCTGCTTAAAGAGTGGGGAAAGATGCTTCTTTTTAAAGACATGTGCTAAAACACGTTATCAATTTTTGAGATAAGTAATTCATCCAAAAGAGATTTTCTTTGTATCAAAAAAACCCTAAAAACATCAATGTTTTAAAGAATATTCAAATGTCAGTAAACTATACTACTATCAATTTTGAAACAATACCCCATTACTTGTGGAAATCAATCAAAGGCTAATAAAGTAGCATAAAGGATTAAAGTAACCTCTCCTAGACCAGCTCAACTACATCCATATGTTTTTCTCTTGGCAGCAAAACAGAAATGGTTTGCTATTGGTTTTTTTCTGGGTTTTTTTTTTTAAATCTTTCCGCTCTACCCTGTAGATTTGATAACCCTTGGTCTTCCGTCCAACTCTTCACCAGGCCAGTCCCTGCCTAGTTTACATGCCTACAAAAAGCTGGACAGTTGCTACCATCTCCACCACCCAGGCACTTTGAGCAAGTCTTATAAGTTGCTCAACCTTACCCTGAGAGTTTAAAATACCATTTTGAACTTCTGAATTTCAAGGGGGTGGTATTAGCGAACGACAAATGTTGCAGTTTTAACAAATTACAACCCACATCCCATCCCATCCCATCCCGAGAATGGCCTTTTCCAGTGTCCACAAGCCAAGAACTTAACCTGTTAGAAAGTAGTATCCAGCCAAATGCTGGAGCAGCACAGAGCTCTGCCTACTTCAAAGACTTTCAAAGACTATATAGTACTAAAACACCCAACCATCGGAAGGCGGGGGGGGGGGGGGGAGGAGGAGGAGGCGCTTCAGCAAAATAAGACTCTTGACTCCCCAACTCGTCCCACGAAGCTTTTGGGTCTCTCCAGATCTGCCATTCAAATGTTGGAGGGAGGGGGGAAGACAAATAAGGGGGCAACTTGGGTGAATCCAGACTGTCCCGAACAGGAAGAAAAGCAGCCGCCTTTTTCTCTTCTGCTGTTCACAGGAAGGCACCTCTCATATCCCAGAAGGAAACGAAAGGGTGGTGTCACCGTTTCTCGTCCCCTTCGCCCAACGCATTCCCGCCACGACGGGGTCCCGCAGGGCCGGGGCGTCCTCCCCGACTCGGGCCCCCCGCGAGTTCTAGGCGCAGGACGCCACCCAGGCCCATCTCGGGACCTTCCTCCCATCTCCCTAACTAACTTGTGGGGGAAGCGAAAGGAAAAGGAGGGCAGCGGCCGTGCAACAAGTTCCCGGTTGGCCTCAGAGACTCGACTCCTATGTCTTTGCCCTCTCCAGCCGGCGCTTCTTCGCCCTCTTCCTCTTCCTCCTCTCCTCTTCCTCGTCTCCCTCCTTCCTTCGCCTCCTTTTCCTTCCATCCCCTCGCCGCCACCCGCGACTCTCCCTCACTTACCTCCGCCATGTTCGCCGCTCAGCTGAGGCGGGCCGAGCCTGGAGAAGGGGAATCACATCGCCGCCGCGGCGGAGAGAAGGAAATGGGCACAGAAAGGCTGCGGGAGCGGCAGCAGCGGCGGCGGCGGCGGCGGCGGCGATGGGTCACAGGCTCTGGGAAGCGGCAGCAGTGGTTGCAGGGAGGAGGGAGCGGGAAGCCACCAGGGGGAGGAAGAGGCCCAACGTCACCGCGCAAAGGAGGTGGGCGCGCCCGCGACGCCGCCTCTCCGCTCCCCCGCCCGCTTTGAGCTCGCTCGCTCCGCCTGCCCTTCTCTTTCTCTGCCAGCGCGAGCGCTTCAGTCACGAGACGGCGGCGTCCGCTTCCCGGCGTCGCGCTCGCGGAAGGCGCTTTTTTTTTTCTTTCCCCGCCCCCTCCCCCCCCCCCCGAACACGGGAAGATAAACGGTCTCTTTCGGGGACGGCGGGGGCGGGGGAGGGGTTTGAAGAAAAGAAGAAGAAAAAAAATCCGTGTTTTAAAACGGGCTACGCACGCGCAGTCTCCACCCAGAGGCGAGGTCCCGACTTCTCTGGGCGGACGACGACTCCACACAACGTAACGCGGGGCCGCCAAAAAAAATAAAATAAAAAAAATGAGCACCTTGTACAAAACCGCGGCTCAACCCACCCGCCTAGACGGGCCGGGGTGAGTCAAAAGCTTCCGCTTCGCCAAAGTTACCCCACCCCCCCCGCCCCCCTTTGAAAGCTCTCTCCACACGTTTCCTTTCTAGCATTTTCGCCGAGGGGGAAGAATGGAGCCCAAATTCTTTCCAGACTTGGGTCGAATAAGTAACCGTAGCCTCTTCTCGATAAAGGAGCAAGAAGAGGAGGACTCGTGACTGGGGAAAGCGTTAAATCTTCTTCCCTCTACCCCAGAGCAGGTTACTGCTGCCTTTTATCGTCCCCGAAAGGCCGGAACAGCCGATCGGGGCTCGCCCCGTCTTTCCTCTGCCCCCCTCTAGTCTGGTATAGGATCTCCTGCTTGAGCAGGGATGTGTGGACTAGAACAGAGGTCGCCAACCTTTTGGACCTCAGGGACCACCAAACTCATAATTTTAAATACCATGGACCAGAGACCCTGGGAAAATCCCCCAAAAAGTCTACAGGAAAATTCTCCATCCTGTTTTCCTAAACTGATCATTCTTTATTTGGGATCGCAGGATACCATCTCCAGCTCTGTTCTCAAGTGGGAGTGGGACGGAGAGAGAGAGAGAGAGAAACTTTTGGCGTCATGCAAGGAAAGCAGCAGAAGCAGCAGAAGTCTTTCTTTCTCTCCCCAAAACTCTGCCAGAAATGAGTCTTTGTGAGACTTGTAGCACCAGCACAGTCTTTTGGAGCAGGGTACTCCGCAGGGTCCCAAAGACTCATTTCTGGTGGAGTTTGGGGGAGAGAAAGAAAGACTTTTGCTGATTTCCTTGGCAGCCAAAAGCAGCAGAAGAAAGAAGCAGCCCGGTTGCCAGGCGAAGCGCGTGGGGCGAGTGGGGATGACATTTCTCTGCGGATTATCAAAATTTTCTAACCGACCACCAGGGGTCCCCGGCCCGCTGGTTGGAGACCACTGGACTAGAAGACCTCCAAGGTCCCTTCCAGCTCTATTCTGGTTCTGATTCATCTCTTCATGTACCTGTTTGCCCATGGTCTAAGAATGGCAGCTTCCTCGTCCAGAAGGCAAAGCGGGGATGAACAGGTGGGAAACGAGGCACAGGGTGGAAAAAAAGATTCCGCTTCTTGCTTTGAAGCATTGGCGCAGCTGCCAAAATCGAATGGCTCCTTTGCCGCTTGTTTCTGAAAAAGTTATCCTCAAGGGAAAATTATGTCAACCAGGGTGGTAATGCGAGCTTCGTGTTTCCAGTTGTGAAAGGATATGCTGGAGATGATTTTAGTTTTGTAGCATTTATTTTAGTTTTGTAGCATTTATTTATTACATTACAGGTAGTCCTTGACTTACAATAGTTCATTTAGTGGCTGTTCAAAGTCACAAGGGCGCTGAAAAAAGTGACTGACGACTGTTTTTCACAATTATGACCATTGAAGCATACCCAGGGTCATGTGAGTTACATTCGGATGCCTGATAACTGACTCACATTTATGACGGTTGTAGTGTCCCAGGGTCATGTGATTACCTTTTGTGACCTAACAAAGTCAATGGGGAAACCAGATTCACTTAACAATTGTGTTACTAATTTAACAACAGCAGTAATTAACATAACAAATGTGGCAAGAAAAGTGGTAAAATGGGGCAAAACTCACTTAACAAATTTCTCACTGAACATAAATTTTGGACTCAGTTTGATTGTAAGTTGAGATTTACCTGCATACTATCTCATATAAATAGTCCTTGACTTATAACCATTTGTTTAATGGCAGAAGTTACAACAGCACTGAAAATAGTGACATGACCCTTTTTTCACACTTGGGATGTTGCAGCATCTCCATGATCATATAATCAAAACTTGGATGCTTGGCAACTGGCCCATATTTATGAGGTTGCAGTGTCCCAGAATCATGCCATTGACCTTTGTGACCTAACAAACAAAGTCATTTGGGAAACCAGATTCATTTCACCACCGTGTTACTTAACACCGTGTTATTTAACAGCTGCTATGATTCACTTGACAACTGAGGCAAGTAAAGTTGTAAAATGGGGGCAAAACTCAATAACTATCTTGCTTCATAAGATAAATTTTAGGGTCAATTGTCATAAATCAAGGACTACCTGTATATTTAAAGGACTACATAGTGAAAAGAGCCAAGAGTGCAAGTGTCATAGGAAACAAGGACTGAGGTGACTGATTTATGGTTTGCCATTCTGCTCATGTGTGGGGAGAAGGTTCAGGTTAGACTTCTGCAATTTGCAGACCATCCCCGCTCCCAAAGCAAAATGAATTCCTGTATTGGGCCATCAAAGTTTGGTGACACAGTGCCAACAAAGCGGCCTGGGTCTTCTGACATTTGGTATCTAAAAATTTCCAGAGCTATTTAATGTAGTTAAGTATGTAAAGAAGATCCTTTAACCCACGGGTGTCAAACTGGTGGCCAGTGGGCTGGATGTGTCATGCATAGGCCCTGCCCACCCCAGCTCCTTGAATGGGAAAAACTTCACAAAACATCATGTGACAGCAACATGACGTGAGTTTGACACCCTTGCTTTAACCCATTAGAAAGAAAAAAAACTCTGTGTTGCCTGTTTTGTATCTACTGATTTCAGTGTTACAGTCTCTAGTTACATGCAACTATTGCACTCTCCAATAAATATGCATAAGATTGAATTCTGCTGAATGCAGAAGGATTTCCATTAGGACATAAAATATTGCACTGTAAATGCAAAGATGAAAGCAGTGGAATTTTCAGTATAATCATAAAGGTGCATTGCAGTACAATCTGTTCTTTTAAGGTTGAGATCCAGGAGGTGTTTTTATTGTGTCTTAATGTGTCTTCTTGGAGAATTATCCCACAAATTACCAACTATGTAGAAGGGATATTTGAAGAATGTTATAGACAGTGCTGGTATTGGGTAGGAAATTTAAAAAGGTGTATCTTTAGATCCTGCTGTATGCAAGTCATGATACATTGTGTTTCATAGACATGCCATAAACTGTTATTCCTAATTTGCAATTGGGATGATGGTGTTCCGTCAGTGTTGACTCCTGATGACTGCCTGAAAGTCCATGCAGTTTTCTTGGAAAGATTTTGGAAGTGGTTTGCCACCTGCTTTCTGAGGTGGCTAAGAGAAAGTGATGGGCCAAAGGTTGCCCAGCTGACTTAGTACCTAAGGTGGGACTAGTTCTTGTGGTCTCCCAGTTTCTAGCCTGATGGAACTGCTAAGCTGGCTCTAATTTGCAACTTATTTACTTACTTACTTACTTACTTAGTTATCATATGGCACGTTCACATCATATTTCAGTAAAAAGGAACACAGGGATAAAATATAAAACAGAAATAAAAAATAATTCACAATTACTCCGAAATCAATATGTATATTTATTTGTATACCTCCAGAATCACATAGTTTGAGTTGGATGACTATATAAGTGCTGAAATAAATACATCTTTAATAGGAGAATTTAGTGTCTTATCTGATTATATTAAACATTGAGTTGATTTGATCCCACTTTCAAATTTTGCATTGCATATTTTAGTTTTGCTTGTTGGTTGGAATATAGTTTTCCACAAATGATTTATTCTTTCAGCTCAGTTGAAGAGTTATTTGACTCTGCTGGTTGGCTTGGTACAGCTGAAATCTAATTTGTTCAGGGATCACTTTTGATATTTGTGGAACCTATACAAGGAAATACTAGGTTGTAGGGTTTCTTTTGATTATATTAGTAAATTGTTTTCTACCAGAGGTCTATAGAATTATATTATGACCTCTGACTAGTAAAATCTTTTGAAACCATCTTTAAAGTTTTTGTAGAATTCAACTTAAAAGTTTAATATTTGGACTTTCTGGTCCTAATAACAATGTTGCCTTTGAAATTCCATAGTTGTTAAATATATAATGTATTTAAAAGAATTAAGTAAAATTAGTTGCAGGAAGATGAAGGAAAGAGATGAAATTAAGTCATTCATACAATGTTTGAAGTAAGTTTGAATGTCCTGTTTCTGAAACAAGTGGCAGGTTATTTTAAAGGAATCATGAAATATTTTATTTATTTAATCTATACTATATGTCACCCATCTCACTATCAAGTGACCGTATACAGTGTAAATGTTTTTGTACATATTGGACACCTGTAGCAGAAATAAACAGTTTTGTGATCCCTGGAGCAGTGATACACGATTTCTGAAAACTGACTATAATACTTTTTTTTTTCAATTTTGGGCAGGGAAACAATGAAAATTAAAATTCAAGTGTTATCCCAAAAATAGACACTTAAAACTCCTTAAAATCACAACACCACAGCCTTGCCTACTTTGTAGCCCTTAATCCTTCCTGTATTTAGCATGTTCTTGAATTGCCATCACTCTTGTAAATAATATTCAGTAAGGGTTACATATTATCACCCTGCTTTTAGATTGAATTGAAAAAAAATAATTGAAATGATTTGGACTTGTCTTACTACTGGTTAGACATTTTTAGGATTTTCAGCTTGTTTTACTAGTAGTTGTTGCCTGTCAAGAACATTTGACTATACTTCTTAGCTCTCTCAAGT